TTGTACCTCCAACTTCAAGATCTCCAGCTTTAAAACGTRCAGATGTTTTTTTCCCAGTGCTGGAATTCCTCTCTGATTTGATTCCGGTTTTGATATCTTTTACATGAAAGTCGATTGCTTTCACATGTTTGGATTTTGTTCCAGAAATTCCCACGTCTGCTATCTTGAGCGAAGCGGATGTGGATTTTTCCCCTTTAACATGGCGGTTTTTGTCYCTTGTTACACCAGCTTCGAAGTCTCCAACTTTTGCTTGAAAAGATTTATTTCCTCTTGACGTTGAGGCAGCTATCGATAAATTTTTATGTTCTACTGACGCAGAAAGCCCACCTTTTCCTAGTGATGTCCCAATTGCAGAGTSTTTTGTTTTGACATCAAATTCAACGTTATCCTTTGAAAATCCAAGACCTACGCTGTTTTCACCATCTTGTACTGATCCTGAAAAACCAGACTTSCCACCTGACAGCGAGAACCCTTTATCTCCATGCTGAGCATTAACTCCTACCTTGTCTTTTGATGCACAGAAGCCAAAACTTGTATCATTGGTTTGTAATCCTGCTCCGACTCCATCTTTAGCAACTTTGAGGTTAATTCCAAAAGCGGAGCTGTGCTGTTCAGTTATTCGAGATAGTTTTGAAAAGTCAGTGTTCACAGATTTCTTTGTTTCTTCAGAAACTATCCCTGAYGACGATGCAATTGTTGCTTCATGTTCCATTGCCATAAATTTGTTGCTGGCATTCATTCCTAGTTCACCACCTYTTTTATCCACGCCAATAGAGAATCCTGATGAAGACTGAGATCGATAACTGTGCACTTTCTCTGACACTATTTTCTTTGCAAAGTTACCAATAGCCCCATCAGCAGTAAATGAAGASCCACTTAGCTTAAGAGAACCTACTTGAAACTCATCTTGGTTTACTGATCCCCTACAATGGATTCCACTTGGCTTTTCAACAAATTTCCCAACGTCAGAACTTTGGTTTTTTCCAAACTTATTAGGTACAGGAAATCCCTCCACCATGGTAAAACCAATACTTGTTGAGCTGCTGAAGGTATCGATTTCATTCTTCTTGGAAATAACGTTCAGCTTTTCAATATTCCCAGAAACTCCATCAGTGTCCAAATTACATGCAGTCAAATTGAYGTTTTCTGCATTCGTAAAATGAGTTCTTCCTCGAACCTTTATGTTCTGATTGATGACCTTTTTTTCTTTTGAACGAGATTGTCCAACGGATATGTCCAGTTGGTTAATCCCAAGATCTATGGACCATTGTTCCGTGGAACTTGTATTTTGTAACTCTGCCCCTTCAAAGTTAATATTTCTGGCATTAATAATCATATTTCCGACTTCCATATCCATTGCATTTTTCACATCGAATTTTTTGGCTGCTGATACGTGTAAGTTCCCACGGACATCAGTTCTGCACCCGGCTAAAYGCTGCTGATATGATCGTCTGCTTTCTTCTCCTATAGACAATCCTTTGTTTAAAGAAAATGAAATTCCACTTGAATGGCTTTGTTCGGAGCTTGACAAAATCCTATCCTTGAATAGGACGGTGCCAGCAGCATTAACTATCATGTCACCACCAACCTGACAATTAGTTCCAATTACAGACACATTCGAGTCTTGAGAAGATATACTTAGCGATCCACCGGCCCTTAAAGTCGAGCAATGTTGCTCCTCGGTTCTCTTAACTTTCCTTTTTTTGCGAAACCAATTTTTGCTCTCATGCTCTTCCACGCGAGTGGTGACTTTATCTTGGATTACCACTTCCTTTTTGGCTGAAATGGCTATACTTTCAGCTGCAATCATTTCTGTTGTGGTCGCTTTAACGCTTCCCTCTTCTGAAGCGATGACAATRTTCCCACAGTTAGAGGAGATACGTGCTTTAGAAACAGCGGTATAAGAGCACGAATCTTTCGTAGAACCAAAAATCCCACTCTCTGAAGACTCACTGCTGTGGTGCGYTTCAATCGGATCGATGACAATATCTTCCTTAGCCAACAAAAACGTTCCTTCGTCACCAGAAATTGAGCCACCAGTCATGGAAATTGATCCCTTGTCAGATTCAACAGCGGCCTTATTGCTAGCTTCAACATGAGACGAATYCATTGAGACGTTTCCTTCAGTTGAYTGCAAAATGGTAGAACCTCGAGAGCTTATTGAGGAACCGCTAACATTCATGGATTGATCTGACGTTATGGATACTCCCTTCTCACAGTGCACCCGAGCATTGTCAATATTTACCGACTTTGCCTTTAAGTTTAGYTTGTAAAGCTGATCCATGTTGCATCTTGATAGAACAATGTCTTGATCCGTCACTGCTAAATCGAGTTGATCAGAGACCCTTAAATCTTTATACACTCCTTGGCCTTTCAGCAAGTCGTTTACTTGATTCATTTTGTCGGTTTTAAGTGTTAGTTTCTTGAACTCGTGATCTGCCGTCATTTTTCCTTTTGACTTGTCATGATAAACTATATCTATGCCAGAACTGGCTTCAATCGTAGTGTCGYCTGATTTGATTTTTCCATCAAGTTGAGCTTTTCCTTCGGATTTTATTACCAAGGAATCACTGGTGATATCACCTGCTTTGCACACATCATCTGCAAACATCATCATTGTTATGGCTTTCTTTTCCCTCTTCGTCATAACGATTTCTTTGGACGCAACGATAAGATCTACAGCAGCTACAACACCTTCGTCGTAGAATAGTTCATCAAACAATGCTTCATATGCTGAATCTGTGAAGGTAACACCCTCACTAAGAGAGTATAAGCCAGATTCAAAGATACCTTCTGTTTTGTTGCTTTTCCTTTTCGATTCAGAAAACCCAAACCTTTTCATGATTGATTTAATTCCTTTGACTCCTTTCTTCTTCATCCACTGACGTAGTTTCCTTGCTTCGTGTGGGATTGCAAGCAGTTTTTCCTTCAATATGTTGATTTTGGTATATCTCTCGCTCTCACTTGTGATGATAAAAACTAGTCTTGAGACGTCAAATGATCCGATGCCATTCTTCAAAATATCTGCTACAAAAACCTTGACCATGCTGTACATCTGATCAATTCGTAGACCGATTTCAGCACTGTCCTTACAACCTTTCTTTAAGGATTTCAATGAGTTTGAGATTTCTCTCCTTTCGTTGTCAGCGTATTGTGATTGGATGTTTTGCAGTGATTTTGCCGCTTTTGACCAAGCTTCTAGGCTTTTGGCGTCAGGAGTACAGGAGACATACGCCAAAAATTTGAAAAGTAGAACTGTATTATTCTCAATTAGCTTGTTTGATTTTAGGGTAGACCCWCCAAGGAAACACGTGATGCTTTCTAATGTGATCCTTTCTCTTCCAACAAGTTCACAACTTCTGACATCATTGACATCAATTATCTCTTTTCCAGGAACACTCAGCAAAAATGGGGCTTCCAAARAAGTTTCTTGGCCTTTGCAAGTGCCACTGTTAACCAAGGCAAGATAGGACGATAAGCAAACATGGGACTTTTCCAGGGCTGACTCTATTTTACCAGTGTTTAGTAGTGCCCATGGTTCAATTTGAAGTGATAGAAATTCTTCAATCGATCCCGCCATTGTAATCCATTCTCCTTTGATTTCTACTTTCTCACATGAAAAAATTCTTCCTTCTTCTGTGAGATGCAAATCTTTTTCTGCGGTTAACTTCAAATTTGACAAATTCGTCAAGCTGCCTGATACATTTACGTCGTTGGCTTCAATCTCTAATGACGTGAATGATTTCGCCTTCCCCGTGGTCAAACCTCCTAATGAGACCAGTCCATTTACGCCGGTGAATAATGTCAGAGTTTGCAGGACATCTATGCCTCCRAAGTCAGTCTTTTCTTGCACAAACGATTTTTCTACATTGACTTCCACAAAGCCTACACATTCTAAAACACCACTCAACTTAAACGTTTCGTCCACAGTGACGGTTGATGACTTTCTTTCTCCTGTTGGCTGGACACATTTTATTCGTCCTGACACATGAATTGAATTTGCTTCCAGACTTACACACTCAAGTCCAGATGTGATGGTGGCCAGTTCACAGGATAGAAATACGTCACAGCATTTAAAGACATTGTTGGTGTTGAAAATAACTTCTGCGATTGATTTATCAATATACAGATCTTGAACTGCAATCGACTTGTTCGGACCTTGAAAGACAAGTTTTTCCTTCGTTGGTGCATCTTTCTTTACACAGCGGATAGAAAGATGGTTTGCATGAAAGGAATCTTCGACAATGAACGCTGAGGATGTTTCTGCATTGTTGGGGTCCTCGCTCGTGTGAAATTCGACAAAGATTTTTCCGAAATGGAATTCTTTGTGCAGGTTTAAGTATTTGCTAAGACTGAAAACGCATTCAGGTTCGATGTTTTCTTCAGAACTGACTATGGCGGAGTCAATCCATAAGTGACCTTTCTCGCAGATTACTTCAAGTTTGTTCGGTGAAACAAATTTATCGCTAATGTCGCCTTTCCCGCCCAGTGCAGAAAAAGAAAATTTCTTATGTGACTGCGAATGAACATACAGGTATCTGTCAACGTAAATTTTCCCAGACAACGTTGTTTCATCGGTCGAAGATACTTCTATGCCAAGATTGGGTGAAGATTTTATCACTCCTTTTTCGTTTGACAGGGATTCCGATGTGATAATWAGGTCTCCGTCACATTTGATGGTTCCACTGTTCAAAGTGTTTTTTTCGCAGGTGATACAAAGAGAACTGGGTATTGAGCTTTTGTTCTTGGAAATAGATGATAGTTCTATCTT